TAAAATCTATGGTGGCACTTTTTGTGAAGGATTGTCACAGCATCAAAGAGCAGTGCTCGGAGGTGTGCGCAAAAATTTCATGCGATAGATAGTTGCTGTTAGTAGCGAATGTTAGCACAACAGATCGTACCTGATGGTAAATAAAAACAGAGTAGAAAACGGTAGTTACATTCACATGTATGTACATCACGGTAACGATTTACAGTACGCAAATTATTTGTTTGTTTGGTGACAAACCATTAGTCTTCCTTTGATCTTCTTCAAGACAAGACGACGAATGTTTGCTGGTTGCATTTGTCGTTCAATAGTTATGCCATTTAGTAAGCAAATTACCCAAAATAAGTTATAAAATTTTAACATTCGCCAGTGCAGTTAAGAAATGATTTTACTCATTGGGTGTGGTTACGAAGCAGCGTAAATTGGAAGTAGTAATAAAACAAACACTGAATGTTGGAAGTAAGGAAAATAAATATGAAAATTTGCTAGTTAAAGCATGATAATTAGAAGTTTTTATAGCGTAAAGAAAAAATGCACAGAGTAAATAAATGTTGAAGCAGAACAACACTACCGTGAACAGGTCATAGCTGCGATTTTGGATAACAGTAATATGACGTAAAGTAATTTTTACCGAAAATAATTTTGTGTTCCTTCTAAGGGTGGTATGATAAATGGATCGGAAATTAATGGCTTTTCTCACCATTAAGCGCTTTAATAAACCGCAATACGTTGAAGCCGAAAACAGTTGTGAATGTTCAAGGGTTCTCTGGGCGTTTGAATCCATCTGTAGCGCCTCCGCAAAAGTTTTCTTCATATTCATCTTCCTAGACATTGCTGATTCGATGTGCAAAATTCTTTCTAGCCGTCTGATGATAAATTTTAAATAACTGTTGAAAGTAAAGGGTGTTTTCTTACTAACTTTTTCTCTAGTTTACTACAATTTCGAGCACCATAAAAAACGATTAACGAAATATGACCCGATTGGCTACGCTACCAAAAAAAGGAAAATTTGAACCCTTAAAATGAGAGTGGATGTGATGAGTGAATTATTTTGTAATGGAAAGGAGAAAGTGAATATCCTGAGCGTGCCTCGAAGGGGACTGCTAAGCGTCCTTTGAAATATCGCGCTAAATAAAAGGTTGAATGAAAAGTTCGTAATATGCAGGCCCTTTGCCCATTGAAAGCCCGGTAAATTGGTTTGTCATTTCAGTTGATGTTGAGTTGCTGTGTCCTTCTCAGTCACCCTATTTCGTCCCATGTTGTACAATTTAGTGCCTTTTCTTCTAACCTCAGCTTCATTTTGAAAATTTTTTCCGTTCATACAGTCTGTGCAGTGGACGACGAATATCGTCGTCACCAACCCTTGCTTTTGCTTACATAGCCGGATTGATTCCAAAGTGAGGATTAGCAGCTGCCGATGAGGAAACTACGCTGTTATCATCTGAACAGATCATGGCATCATTATATCGAAGGGTATGAATAACCAGCAGTTTAAACTATTTTGAAATCAAATGGTATTCCATTAATCTAAATCTGTCAGTACTTTGGTAGTCGATTTTCCTATACAATAAATGCAAGGCAAATATGAAACTGATATACTCAGCGGTGGTATCGATATTTCCCCAGAGCACCGGGGTTCGGTTCTCTCACTCTTCCTTCTACGGATCGTGAGTGTTTCTTGTTCGAGATGCAGTGCTGCGTCCTATACATTGCAGGCGCTTAAATACCATCGAAGCATTGCCGGCTTAAATGGCACCTTAGGCGTTTAGAAGCACAGGGGCGGTGCAATCAGCTGCCGATGTAAAGTGAGAAACTAATTTTTCTTTCTTTACACTGTACACTCGCCGTTTGCAGCCGGTATCATTATTTTCACTAAAAATATGAAACTGCTGGTTTTGAAACGTTGTCTTTCATTCTGAAGAACGACCTACGGGCTATTTCTTATCATGAAAAAAATATGCATAAGGAGAAGACGAAACTCTTCTGTTCCACGCATCGAAAAATTCGAGGGAACAGCAGCGATCAATAGCACTCAATTGGCTAAGACAATGGTGTCCCTACTTTAATTTCAGAATGTCACCTCCGCCGTTGCCAGTTTCAAGCTCGGATGAAACAGAAGCGGGTTGGGAACCGCTGCGCGGTCTTCCATAAAACTCATAAACTTGCCGATCACGGGATTGCTTGTATTTTACGCTCTACCGACGCCCGGCTTAATAAGGACTACACCGATTATTGAGGAATTGCAACAGACTAGAAAAGTCATCGCTCGGAATCAGCTTCACGCCTTTTGGTATTTAGGGGCGTAGCACCACCGCAACGGCTTCCGACGATCAACAAAATGATGGAGATGATGCCAGTCAGCAACAAAGCCCCTACCCGTTCCGAACCTAAGAAGCACACAGTGCGATGCCAATACGGCACATCAGGTAAGGCTCCACGGGAAAGACATTGACAGTGGGAGCTTACACTCGGAAATTGGAATATATTCTCACTCAGAGGGAAGGAGTTGGAGGTAGTTGACGAAATCGCAAGTACCAACTCGATGGTACTAACGAAACAATGAGTGTAAACGATTTTATTCAGATGTGGGCAGCGTGACCCGCGTTCAGGCCAGTGCTTCTAATCTAGCAGAACTCGACCTGGAGGATGGAATCATTGATTGGAAGCCTGTCAGCGGAAGGGTAGTAATTTTTCGAATGAAGCTACAACAGGCTAAAGCCATGCCTTTGTTACAGGTCTGCGGAGTTCCTCATTCTGATGAGCGATTTTATTGCGCATGTCAGAGCAGACATTGACAAGTGGAAAGACGTGATCGGAAAGGACAGCCATACCGACCTCAACAGCAACGTATGAAGTGTTGCGGTTTTGTCCAAACGTACTGCTGCTTGTTATGAACACTTTCGAGCATCGAAGAGTGCATCAGTGTATCTGGTACAGAGAAGCTTGTGCACAGAAATCGAAGATCGATTTTATTTTCATATCCTCGGACTTACGACACTCTACAATGAATATTTGCGTTAAAAGAGGAGCGGATCTGTCAACCGATCATCACACATTGTTTGTTTGCACTCTGTGCTGTGAGAGATCGAGTATCATGTGAGGGCCTAGTGACAGAGGCAACCAAGGAATCGACTGGGCGACATTGCCTTTTACAGAGAGGAGGGTAAAACCTTGCAAAAGATTTGTACGGCTGTTTGAGCAGATTCCAGACGACTAAAACTATAGAAACTGGGTGGAAGCTCTTTAAAAGTGGTTCACTTGGGGCTGTTGCCGGATGCTACGATACAAAATGAGTTTCACTACTGTCTGTTCACAAATATACCTGGTGGACACGACGCGAGATTAAGACTGCTTTCAAGAGATGGACTGAAGATAAAGAACCTTCAACTCGAATACAGTACGAAAATGCGCGACAGGTGGTAGTGAGGCCAAGACGACAAATGGTTCCTGAGAAAAATTCTATGAAGTGAGAGAGCCAGATGTCAAAGAATTCTAGCATACGATCTTCCGCCTCTAAGATAGAACAAGAGCAGTCTAAGAGTCCTGAGGGGCAAAGCCGTGGTCGTAGTTCGGCGATCGAGAGAATACCTTGAGGAACTCCTTTGTCCTTAGCAACCGCACGAAGACTTCCCTAATGAGCAACGAGCAACGAATA